AATAATAATTCACTTTTAGAAAAAAAATAGATGGACAGAAAAAAAATGTTCTCTGGTAGAAAATGAAGAGTGAGTCTCATACTATATGAATTTTAAGGAGGATCAAAATATACAATCTCATCTAAGAAAACAATGATTTGTCGCTGAAATAAGATATTGATTTCGGTCAAACACTAAGAGCATGTCCACCATAGTGGTTACAATTTTATTGTCTAATTGTCTCTCTATATTGTGATTGTCATTATCTTTATGTAATTTGAGCATAATAACAGAATATATTTTTATTTTCTATTGTAAGAACAATAACAGAAGAACACAATCTCCACTCTCAAACATTGATTAAATATAGGTAGATTAACTATTTCCTTAGCAAACAGAGTATGACATACACTCTTGCAATTAATCTTTTTAGTTGTCAGATATGTATGTATCAATCCATAAGCGAAGGCCTGGCGATAGCAAAGTGATGATAGATGGAGATGTTATGATACTAGAACTAATACATGTAATGTATACTGGGAATCCATGATGCTTATTTCAGCTTAATCATGACAGCATAATATGATAACATCATTACATGGTAACACAAGATTTTGATGCGATTAACTACGAAGGACAACACGACATTCAGGTCTAATAGAAGAGGCGGCACACTCGAGCGCTTACCCACAGTTCATGTCATCGTTTGCCATTTGGATTTGAGCTTCGCAAGCTTAACTGCAAACTGAACATACATCCAGTCAATGGTCTTGTCGATCCGTCGGAAGAAAGCAAATCTGATGGCCTGCTTCATGATGAGTGTGCCAATAAACAGCCAAAAGCCGACCACAAATCCAACCACAATACTGGTGTACTCCAATAATTTGTCGAGCTTCTCATCATCTTTAACTCTGGCATCAGGTGGAGTTTGATAGACAGGGCAATCTGGCAGTGGCGTACCACAAAGGTCTTTGTTACCCACATATGACCATGAGCCAAAGGTCGACAATTGACCACTCGTGGGTATTTTGCCTGACAAGTTATTGTAAGACAGATTCAAATAATCCAGGAAATTCATAGCAGAAAAGCTCGAAGGTATCTCCCCGGTGAGACTGTTCATCGATAAGTCAAGTGATTCTAGCTGTTTCATATCACCAATCTTTTCTGGAATCCTCCCCGTCAAATGATTGTTGGATAAGTTTAGGAAGCGCAATCCGAGAAGCTTGGTCAGTTCTTTTGGGATTTCACCAGAGAGATGATTATTTGACAAGTCTATGCTTGTCACCAGCGAGAGAATGGTTGTGTAATCAATCGTTGATCCTTTTGTGGTCATCAAGATGCTCTCTTCATAATAATAGTTGTCGATATGAAGCATTGACCCGGTATCATTTTGTGTCTCAACCATGGCACTGAAATTTCCTAGAGATGATGGTAGACTGCCAGTTAGATTGTTGGAAGAAAGATCCAATACCTGGAGAGAAGTGAAATCCGCTATATTCATTGGGATGGTACCATTTAGAAAGTTTGACCTCAGACGAAGAACTCTCAACGACCAGAGGTTTCTTCCTATCCATGTTGGAATTCTGCCATGCAATTTATTTTCACCAAGATCAAGGGTAACTAATTGGTCACAATGTTTCAAAAACAAAGGAATTGTTCCAGATAGATTGTTATTATTCAAATGTAAAGATTGTAAAGAGGTTGGGAATGAGTAATAACAATTCGGGACTTCTCCAACTAAGTAATTGTTAGATAGGTCAAGAACCTGAAGTGATTGCATATGACAAAAGAAGGGAGGTAGACTACCATTGATACGGTTATGAGATAAAGATAATAGAGAGAGACTTATAGCTTCTGTGAAGTCTAATGGAATAGGTCCCACAAATGAATTATTGGAGAGATCCAACATTAATTGGGGAGCAGAAGGTAATCGACCTTGTAAATTATTAGAGCTCATGTTAAGCCTCAACAATCCTCTTGAGAAATTTGAAAACCAAATAGGGAGGTTT